GGTCCTATTTTGATAATCTGAATCATTCAATGTGTACAACTCGTCAAGTATTATATGTCTATAAAAAATCACGTTGATCAGATATCGATAATTATGTGATCAAATGAGTTTTGTATAAAAAAAAATTTGACGGTGAACAAATTAACAGTTGACAAAAAACTGATCTAATGAGATAGCTATTGATATCCAATCAACGTGATATTTTACAAGCATATAGTACTCGATGAGTTATACACATTGAACGTCGAATTATCAAAACAAAACCTATGGTGGGCTCCCACAAACGAACAGCACCATCCAGTCTGATCTCGGACTGGAGGCAAGCTGCTTCCTTACTTTATATATTCTAAATTATAATTAATTATCACATGATTGAACTTGACAATTGATTCTAATTTTTGGATTTATATAATAACAAGCATAATTACTTGTGCTATGCATGAGTATAAATAAATAATCAAAAATTAATTTTTAAAATTAAATAATAATCTGAAAATTTTATCTACAATATTTAATAAAAATGATTTAGAATTAATTAAATTTTATTCATTTTTATCACAGTTACATATAAGGAAATGTTTTTTTTTTATTCTTATGTTATTAATTGTGTGCTCTAAGTTCTTAATAACAAATATACATCATAATTTAAGTGTTAAAAATAAAAAATAAATCACAAAATTATATTTATGATAAAATATAAATACATTTTGTCATATGAGTTTCGTAAATTTAATTTATCATATGATAGTGGTAAATTACATTTGTCAATATAGTAATTTTTTCATGTTTTGTGAAGTCTAAAAGCTATAATTTGTCTTATGTTATAAGATTTACATAAAAATGAATTAGGATTCACTTGTGATATTAAATTTGGGCATAACATTATATTTACGCCAACTTGTCCTTCACCTAATCATTAAAAATTATCTTATTTTGTTCCCAACTTATATGAATCATTTGACCTATCTATTTATTAAATTAGTAAATAAATATTTGTAAATTTTTTTTTATAATAAAAATAAGAAATATGGACTTATTTTATGCATACTTTCAAAAGTTTGAACTATAGTTTTTTTTTTTTTTTTAAAAAAAACTATATATTTATGTTTAAAACAATTAAATGAATAGTTATATATATTTATGTATAAAAAAAATTATTTAAGATAAAGCCACTCAAAATTATAGGTCATATTCTAGTCCTAATAAATTCAAATTTTATATTTAAATTATATCATAGTTTATCAGTTCGTGACTGATATGAGCTAATTTGAGGTTCTAATATTTAATTAAATACTAAAAAGTAGCCAATAAAATTTAGTTCAAGTCGATTTTTTTTTTGCCAATAATTCTTAATTTAAACCTAGTTCTTAAAGAATAATCTAATTCATGTCCAATCAATGAGTTAGACTTATTTTATGCATACTTATTAAAAAGTTTGAACTATAGTTTGAAAAAAAAAACTATGTATTTATGTTTAAAACAATTAAATGAATAGTTATATATATTTATGTATGAAAAAAATTATTTAAGATAAAGCCACTCTAAATTGTAGGTCATATTCTAGTCCTAATAAATTCAAATTTTATATTTAAATTATATCATAGTTTATCAGTTCGTGACTGATATGAGCTAATTTGAGATTCTAATATTTAATTAAATACTAAAAAGTAGCCAATAAAATTTAGTTCAAGTCGATTTTTTTTTTGCCAATAATTCTTGATTTAAGCCTAGTTCTTAAAGAATAATCTAATTCATGTCCAATCAATGAGTTAGTAGACCTACTTATTTATTTATTTTTTAATTAGTAAATGTATTTTTTAAAAAAATTATAACAAAAATAGGAAATATGTATATATTTGTTTGGTATATTTATTAACAATTTCAAAATTAATTAAGAAATTATGTACTTATTCTTAAAAGGATAAATTACATTGGTAATCCCTATATTTTAACTCTTGTATTATTTTTGCCCTTACAATTTTAATTTGCTCAATTTTGATCCTAAATTTATAATTTTGTCTCAATTTGGTCCAATTTTTATAATTGCTAGTATTTTTCTTTTATTATTGAAAATATACACATGAGCATTATCTATTATACTTTTATAGACAAATTTATAAATTTAGTCAACTCAATAAGTTAATCTCAACCAACTTAATAATTATTTTCTTTCAAAAAATCTTAACTGACATTATCAATTAGACCAAATTAATACAAAATCTAAAATTATGGGTAAAAATCAAACTAATTGAAATTATAGATACCAAATTAACACAAGAGACAAAATGTAGGGACTATCGACATAATTTACCCTTCTTAAAATATGTCTAATACTGATTGTATTAATATTAAGATATATTTATATCTGAAAAACTATTTAAAACTAAATCAGGCTAGAACCTGAATAAAAAGTTAATGGCTTATTAAAAATATTTAATAATTATAAATTCAAATTTGATCAATTTTTCATTTAAATTTTTTCTTGAATTAGGTTTTTTGATAATTTTAATTTATCGTTCCAATTTTTCCTTGCATTTTTTTTAAAAATATTTTAAAATTATATATTTCTTTTGAAATTTCCTTTTCAATCTCAAATTAATTATAACTTGAATTTGGTTAAAATTTATTTTTGACTTCTCATCTACAAAAACTAACAATAAACATAAATTAATTTTTTGAACATTGTGAAAAGGTAAATAAAGAAATATATTATCAATAATAATAATAACAAAACATATTTTTATTTATTATGTGGCGTCTCACCACTACATTGATAATAGATATTAATAATAAAATTTATTACGATAATACAACAATAATATATCAAATGATAAGTAACATGTGATCACAATAATTTTTGATAGTTATACAAAATGACCCAAAATTATATATAAAAAACAATATATGATCCATATTCACTTTTTATATGTAAAATTTACACTTAATCTCAACTACACATTAGTTTTCTAAATCAATTCATCAACCAAACTATCTACTATTCTTTTAATATTCACCTTTTCAAAATCCACCCAAACAATGCTCTGTCCAAGCTCATCATCACCCTTGTTGTTGCCATGCTCACCACTTCTAACCATTATGCAACTCTGGTCTAATTTTTTATCTTTGTAAATATAAAAAGACATTGTTGTAGAAATAAAAAGGTACCGTTAGAGTTTTAAAGAGTTAAAAATGAAAAATAAAAAAAAATGCGTGATTTTAGGTTTTCTTATTCCATATATGGGATTTAAATTTTGTTTTTTTTTTAATCCATAAATTATGGAATAGTGTTCATTATTTAAAATTTTATTTATTGATAGGCAAGTCAATTAAATGTTTTTAATTTTTTACAAATAAAAAATTTGAAAATTTTGTTTAAGAAATTTAAAAAATGGCCAAATCATATAGAACAATATAAGACGCCTTATTCTATAAAAAAAATGAAATTTTAAATTTTAAAAAACTCATAACTATATTATCAATTCATATATATCAAAAAAATAAAATAAAATAACAACAATAAAAAAAATAAACAAACATCCCCCCTCCCCCCCCAAAAAAAAAATTTCAAATCAACTCCCAAAACAAAGATAGTTAACAAATATATATTTATTATCAATTTAGTTGGAAAAAAAATACATTGAAAAAAAATTCATATAGAGAAAAAAAAAATACTCACAACAAAATATAAATTTAAAAAAAAAAAAAAAAATACAAACAAACAAACTTGAAATAAGTTTGGACTATCGGCAAAGAGAGAGAATAACCATTGCATCATTACATTTGGGGAGGAGTTGGTCGGGCTGGAAAAAATATAAAATATTGAGTATTTTAAAGAGAGAATTGTATTGAATTTTTAATTTGATTGGATTTTTAAAATTTTAGATTTATATTATTTTCAGAAAAGGTTAAAGTGAGATAAAGGTGATTTGCCATATTATTTTAAATTTTGAAATTCAAAATCATAGATAATTAGTGTCTTTATTTATTTTTATTCGAATTGTTTTGATCAACATTTATTTTGATCAACATTATTTTTGGAAAGAGAGAGGGTGATTTATGATATTATTTTGAATTTTTAAAATTCAAAATTGTAGACAATTATATTTTTTTTTTTTTTTTTGGATTTTTAATTTAAAGAATTAACCAATAGATTTTTTTATTTATTTAAAAATTAACAAAATTAATTTGAGAAACTTCCACATTCATTATTCTTAAAAAAGACTATTTTCTTTTTATACACATATGAGCAATTTGGGAACTTGGTAAAACGTCAGTTTTTTTGGCTTTTTGCCAAGTTCTCCCAAAAAAGCCACAAAAAAAAAAACACTAAAAAAGTTAAAAAGTTAAAAAGTCAATTTTTTTTTTATCAACTTTCCAAAACACCCAACAGATGATCTTGAAAAAATTAGACTCTTAAAGGAGATTAATATTTTGAAACAGAAGGAGTAATTAATTAGATTTTTTTTAGAGCAATGCTAGGTGGCCCGAAAAGAAGGTTGGCTCAAATGGCTCGAATTAAAAAAGTTAAAAAATTAAAAAGTCAAATTTTTTTTTTTATCAACTTTCCAAAACACTCTTAAAGGAGGTTAATATTTAAAAAATTAGACTCTTAAAGGAGATTAATACTTTGAAACAGAAGAAGTAATTAATTAGATTTTTTTTAGAGCAATGCTAGGTGGCCCGAAAAGAAAGTTGGCTCAAATGGCTCGGATTTCACCTTGTCATTCGTCTGGGCGGACGTTCGGCCAGTTGTCCGACTGGTCGTTCGACAAAGAGGCTGACAGCTGCGGTTGACAGATGTGACAATCGCGGTAGACAAGCTTTCATTCCATCATCCAGACAGACATCCAACCAGTCGTTCGGATAGACGTCCAACTAGTCATTCGAGCAGATGTCTAGCTAACACACATTCGAGCCGCTCCTTTTCGGCCACCAAGCATTTTGTGTTTTTTAATCGGCTAGATTTCCAAACAATGTAAGGGCAAGGGCATTTGTGTAAAACGCTCTTTAAACCCTACCCGAGGATATCCAAAACCCCAATAGGGGCTGCTCTCTCTCACCGCTAGGTCTCTCACTTCTCTCCGAGCTTCTTCTTCTTCTTCTTCTTGAGTCAAATGGCGAAACGTTTGATTCCTTCTCTGAATCGGGTTTTGGTGGAGAAAATCATTCCTCCATCGAAGACCAATGCTGGAATCTTACTCCCAGAGAAGACCTCCAAGGTGATATTCATTCATTGCCCAACAATTACCCTCATCCTCTTGCCAATTCTAGATTTTGAGCATATTTTTTCTTTGAAATTATTGTTTTCCGTTTATGGGTATTGTTTAAATCTGTAAAATTTCATGTTTATTTGATGAAAATGACCTATTATTAGATATCTAGATCTGGGTTTGAGTTAATTGAATTTTTTTGACTTGAAGTTAGGTTTTTATTGTGATATTTGTTCTTCTCATTCTTGGCATTCTCTAATATCCTGTTGTTAGTTGTTAGCCCAAAACTACTGTTTGGTTGCTGGGAAAGCAAAGAAAAATGAAAGAAAACAAAATTTGAGTATCATGCTTTTTGTTCTTTATGTCAGTAAAATTACTAGAAATAATAAAATTAGACAACATACAAGACACCTGAATTTCCGTGGTTCAGCGTTGAGAGAAATGTTTAGTATTATGGTCTTATGGATGAATCAACTGAACCCATTCAGAATGATTTCCCAGGGTTTATGTTATTCACAGATGATTGTTATTGTTCTAGTGGATGTGGATGAAACTAAGGGAGAATCAATATTCAATTAGAAAACTAAAGAGGAACAGTAAAGCTGAATATATGGAATGTTATTTTAGTACCAACAAAAGAGAAATAATGGAGAAGTGGAGATTGAAAATTAGGAGATGACCATTTTTGTTACGTAAAAAATTATTACAAAGGAGGGGTAGGACATGTTCTGTATAATCAAAATAGGTTGGCTCAAGTGGATGAATGCCTATGTAACTGATGTATTGGTGGCCATGTATCTCCTAAAAGATGTGGGGGGTGGTAAGAGAGTAACTACCTTGTGGGAACATCTGTGAATAACATGAGGTAGTTGAGTTACAAGAGAATGGGAAGTTATGGGATTCCCAGAATTTGTCACCTCATCCACTTAGGTAGTATAACCCAAACCAAATACCCCACTTACAAATACCCCACTCACATAGAATTGGGAAGCTTTGCACGCAAGAGACAGAAAGTGGCACGTGAGCCACCACACACATCTCTCTCAAGAGACATGGCCAACCTTACATGGATACCGACAAAATTGAAAGCAAAATTTAAAATAACAACTATATGACTGTAAGGATATGTTAGGGGGTGGGAAACACTAAATTGAAATGAAATTTGGTAGTTAAATTTAAAAGGACCTGTTATATAGGATGGGGAGAGAAAGACCTAAACTGATGTGAGATGTGGTGGTAAAATGATTTATGAATTTGTTTAATTTGACAGAGTGGAATGACAAAAAAATAAAAACAAAAATCATGTAGCTGACCCGATTCAAGATTAATTCATGAGGAAGTGATATCACTTTAGGATCTACTCCACTAGGTATATGATGACCCGTCTTGGAGATTCCTCCAAAGATCAATTAAACCTAACCCATTGTGCCCCCTTGGCTCTTCTATAATACAAATCTATTATAAAAAAATGCAATAATAGATAGATACAATGAGTGGGTGAAATGATAATAACTTATCTATATTCATCACCCAATTTCTGAAATCATCAAACTTATTTGCACTTCATCATATAGTATACATTTTTATTTTTATCATTGTAATATTAATTAGCAGAATGATGGATCGATCACCATTTATGGATGAAATGATTGTTAATTTTAATTTTCAAACACCAACTTTTTGTGTTTCTGGGAAAGTAAATGTAGATGAACAAGTTAATTAAAGCTAACCCAAGTTATTTTGTTAGGCTCAGATGAGTGGACTATTTTTTCTGTTTGGGTGCTAATACTAGAGCTTCTCAGTGTCAGGTTTAATGATCTCTTTAGCTCTTCTTTCAGCTAACAAATTGAGTGCAAGCATTATAAATTTTCCTTATTAAAGACTTTTTTATTTTTATTTTAATTGCTGAATTGATTTTAGAATGTGTTCCTGTTTCTTTTGAAATACATTTGCTTGGATTTAATCTGCCAAGTTTCCTTTTCAGTTTGCTTACTTTTCTGTGTTTGATGGGTCAGTTGAACTCTGGAAAAGTTGTTGCTGTGGGTCCTGGCATTCATGATAGGGATGGAAAGCTGATTCCTGTTAGCGTGAAGGAAGGGGAGACAGTTCTCTTACCTGAATATGGTGGAACTGAAGTAAAGCTTGGTGAAAAAGAGTAAGTGCATGTTCATTGTTTTTGGGCTATTATCTCTTGCTTGTAATTCCTGAATTCACTGGTGTTTGTCTTTCCAAGCTTATGATGATGTTAATGCAACCACTCTGGAATCTTCAGAGAATAAAACTAAAAGATAAAAAGGTTGTAATTTAACAGCTGCCTACCTATAGTGTTGAGTTCATTAATTTTCTGGGAATCATATTGAGACGCACTGATAATCTTAAACTAATGTCTTGTTCAGTTTTTAACTTTGGAGTATTAGTCCTAGCAGTAGGCTATACTGAGCAGTTTCTAAAATAAGTTTTCAATCCAATTATGTATAAGTTTTTAACTTTGGAGTCTTCTCTTCTCATTCCGGTATGAGCCTCATCTTCTCTATTGATTTCTTTTCCAAATCTTCCTCGATCCTTTTTTTTTCCTATTGAATTTTCGTCTTCACTGATTTTTTTTGATCATGTTAAAGTTTCACATAAGTTTCTTCCCCTACCGAGCTTCTCTTTTTTTCCACTTTGATCCTAGATCATATTCTTCAGTGGTCTTTTCATCTTCCTTCTTTCTATCAATTTGCTTCTTCTATTTGTCTTTTTCTTCATCTCAGTCTTTTTTCTATATAGTTTTCTTGTTGGATGGATTTTGTTAGTAATTGTGAACAGAGTTAAAATAGAAAAACTCACATTAGGTTTAGGGATAATAAAATTTTATTAATTTCGTATTGCTATCTCTGATTCATGTTCCCTTTTTTCCATTGTGATACACATTGGCAAGGTCTGAGATAAAGCTTTGAATGAATGATATCTTATAGTAATTGTGACAGGGATATTAAGATTGAGCATAAAATATTCATATTACAAATTGTTGAAGCATCTGGTGGGAGCTTCTTCTTCTCTTCTTTTTGTAAAGTATAACTTATTTTGGAAAATCACAAGCACCCAACAATTGCAAAACTTGTTACTTCCAATGCTTCATTGCGATTTACAACAGGTTTCAGAGATATATGTTTTTGTTATGCTAACCACTCTTTTGGTGCTAACATATGTAATTCTTGAACTTGTTTCAGGTATCATCTCTATCGGGACGACGACATTTTGGGAACACTGCATGACTGATGTATTTTTACTTCCCATCATGTTAAGCCGTACTTCATCAAACATTGTATTTGGTCTGAGCTATATTTTAGTTAGTAGGGTCAAGTGACAGTTCACAATTGTGCTCTGAATTGAAATGGTGAGATATGCGAAGAAATTTAGAGACCCCTTCCTTTATTGCGGAGAAATCTTGCATGTTGCAATAAACTTTTGACGTTTTAATGGGGGTGTAAGAATTCTGGTCAACTGAGCTAGACTTTTTTTTTTTTTTCAATAAACAATTCAAAAAAATAAAAACTGAAAGCTCTTGATTATAGTTGTGTATTGTTTTGGGTTGCTCCTTCATTAATCTTTTATAGTGATGTGGGACAATATATTAGGAATTTCTAAATTTATATTTTTAGCATTTTGGAATCAGTATTTTACCTGGAATAGTCTAGAATTATTAGATTTCTTAGTTTGTGTTAATTTAAATTTTCTAAATTTTTTTATATAAAAAAAAATTTAAGCTTATTTTTTTTTATAATTTATTTTTTAATATAAAATTTAGTTTGTTTATTTAATTTGATTATTGAAGGCAGTCTTTTTTAGTCAAATTTGAAATATAAATTTTTTGACTTGAAGTTTTACTTTGAAAAAATATTCGTAAAAAATAAATTGAATAAATGCAAAGTTTACTTTTGTAAGCGTGTCAAATTTACTTTTGTGAAAAAAATTGAATTTGTGATAAATAGAAAGTTAACAGTTTGATTTGCCATGGGAATGGCATTGTAAAATCAAATTACGAGGGTTTATTTTTCAACTTCGTATTTGGTTGGAAAATTTAAATAAAAAGCATTGTAGGAGGCCCCCAGTGGGGGTGACCCCAGCACCCCACCTCTACGTGGGGGACAGCAAGCGACAGACTAAAAAAAAAAAAAAAAAGACCAATCAAAAAATAGTGGGAGTGGTGGGGGTCATCCTTACTGGGGGTCTAAGACATTTTTCTTAAAAAAAAATTTAAAAAAAGAAAGAAAAAATATGTGAAATGTAAGTATACTAGCGTATACTCGTGCCTAAAGACATGGTATAAATAATGTTAGAATTATAATATAATTGTAATTTCAATACTATTTAAATTTGTTTAATTTGATAAAATCACAAATTTACTATAAAATTTTAGAGTTCTCACAAAACTCCTCACAAAAGCTTACTTTTGCTTATATAATATATAGTTAGATAGATAGATGTGCCTACCATACATATAATTTTCATGGGCATACATGCAATACTGTTTTTGCTTATATAATTATATGAAAATTGTATGTATGCTCGTAATGTCTTAGTCTATTACGGGCATACATGCATTGTATGGAAATATGCGTAAAATATATTGAACAAAAATGAGGAAAAAAAAACAAATAGAGAGAAAAAAAAAAGAAAAAAAAAAGAGAGAGAGGAATATGGGATCATAAAATCATGAAAGGATGGTTGAGAAAATGAAAAAGTAAGAGAGAGAAGCAGGAAAGTAGAAAATGTATATGTAAGACATTTTTTGAAAAATATATCTTAGCGGTTGTTTTATAATTTGAATAGATCTGAGTTATCCAAATGTCTTAATAGGACAAATGTGTGTAGGACAAATTCAAAAATCATTTTGCTTTATTATATAGATATAGCTAGATAGATAGATGTACCTGACATATATACAGTTTTCACGGGCATACATATAATATTGCTTTTATTTATACAATTATATAGAAATTGTATGTATGCCCGTAATATCCTAATGTATTCAGTCTTTTTTCTATATAGTTTTCTTGTTGGATGGATTTTGTTAGTAATTGTGAACAGAGTTAAAATAGAAAAACTCACATTAGGTTTAGGGATAATAAAATTTTATTAATTTCGTATTGCTATCTCTGATTCATGTTCCCTTTTTTCCATTGTGATACACATTGGCAAGGTCTGAGATAAAGCTTTGAATGAATGATATCTTATAGTAATTGTGACAGGGATATTAAGATTGAGCATAAAATATTCATATTACAAATTGTTGAAGCATCTGGTGGGAGCTTCTTCTTCTCTTCTTTTTGTAAAGTATAACTTATTTTGGAAAATCACAAGCACCCAACAGTTGCAAAACTTGTTACTTCCAATGCTTCATTGCGATTTACAACAGGTTTCAGAGATATATGTTTTTGTTATGCTAACCACTCTTTTGGTGCTAACATATGTAATTCTTGAACTTGTTTCAGGTATCATCTGTATCGGGACGACGACATTTTGGGAACACTGCATGACTGATGTATTTTACTTCCCATCATGTTAAGCCGTACGTCATCAAACATTGTATTTGGTCTGAGCTATATTTTAGTTAGTAGGGTCAAGTGACAGTTCACAATTGTGCTCTGAATTGAAATGGTGAGATATGCGAAGAAATTTAGAGACCCCATCCTTTATTGCGGAGAAATCTTGCATGTTGCAATAAACTTTTGACGTTTTAATGGGGGTGTAAGAATTCTGGTCAACTGAGCTAGACTTTTTTTTTTTTTTCAATAAACAATTCAAAAAAATAAAAACTGAAAGCTCTTGATTATAGTTGTGTATTGTTTTGGGTTGCTCCTTCATTAATCTTTTATAGTGATGTGGGACAATATATTAGGAATTTCTAAATTTATATTTTTAGCATTTTGGAATCAGTATTTTACCTGGAATAGTCTAGAATTATTAGATTTCTTAGTTTGTGTTAATTTAAATTTTCTAAATTTTTTTATATAAAAAAAAATTTAAGCTTATTTTTTTTTATAATTTATTTTTTAATATAAAATTTAGTTTGTTTATTTAATTTGATTATTGAAGGCAGTCTTTTTTAGTCAAATTTGAAATATAAATTTTTTAACTTGAAGTTTTACTTTGAAAAAATATTCGTAAAAAATAAATTGAATAAATGCAAAGTTTACTTTTGTAAGCGTGTCAAATTTACTTTTGTGAAAAAAATTGAATTTGTGATAAATAAAAAGTTAACAGTTTGATTTGCCATGGGAATGGCATTGTAAAATCAAATTACGAGGGTTTATTTTTCAACTTCGTATTTGGTTTGGGGATTTAAAAAAAGGGCACTGTTGGAGACCCTCAGTGGGGGCACCCCCACCTCTACGTAGGGGTAGCAAGTGGCAGACAAAAAAAAAAAACAACCCCACTGCATATCTCCAGCCCAGTGACATGGCGCACCCCCACTGGCCGAAAACTTAAAAAAAAAAATAGTTTTTTTTTGGGTCAATCCCCCAGTGACACCTCATTGGGGGTCGACCCCCAGTGGGGGTAGGAAGCATTTTTGAAAAAAAAAATAGACTAATTAAAAAACAGTGGGGGTGGTGGGGTCACCTCCACTGGGGGTTTAAGACATTTTCCTTAAAAAAAAAATTTAAAAAAGAAAGAAGAAATATGTGAAATGTAAGTATACTAGTGTATATTCGTGCCTAAAAATACGGTATAAATAATGTTAGAATTATAATATAATTGTAATTCTAACACTATTTAAATTTGTTTAATTTGATAAAATCTCAAATTTACTATAAAATTTTAGAGTTCTCACAAAACTCCTCACGAAAACTTACTTTTACTTATATAATATAGGAAAATGATTTGTCCCCTTAAAAAAGCCCCCCTAATCCCCCTAATGTTCAAAACGACGTCGTTTTGGGCATTTTTTTTTTTTTTTTTGCCTTGGTTTGAAAATTAGGGGGATTAGGGGGCAAAAAATTAGGGGGATATAGCAAGGTCCTATAATATATAACTAGATAGATAGATGTGCCTACCATACATATAATTTTCATGGGCATACATACAATACTGTTTTTGCTTATATAATTATATGAAAATTGTATGTATGCTCGTAATGTCCTAGTCTATTACGGGCATACATGCATTGTATGGAAATATGTGTAAAATACATTGAACAAAAATGAGAAGAAAAAAAAAAACAACAACAAATAGAGAGAAAAATAAAAACGAGAAAAAATAAAAAATAATAATAAAAAAAAGAGAAAGGAATGTGGGATCATAAAATCATGAAAGAATGGGTGAGAAAATGAAAAAGTAAGAGAGAGAAGCAGGAAAATAGAAAAAAATGTACATGTAAGACATTTTATGAAAAATATATCTTAGCAGTTGTTTTATAATTTGAATAGATCTGAGTCGTCCAAATGTCCTAGTAGGACAAATGTGTGTAGGGCAAATTCAAAAATCATTTTGCTTTATTATATAGATATAGCTAGATAGATAGATGTACCTGACATACATACAGTTTTCACAGGCATACATACAATATTGTTTTTATTTATATAATTATATAGAAATTGTATGTATGCCCGTAATATCCTAATGAATTACGAGCACATATACATTATATGGAAATATGTGTAAAATATATTCAACAAAAAGGAGAAAATAAAAAAATAAAAAATAGAGAGAAAAATAAAAATGGGAGAAAAAAAAAAGAAAAAAAAGGAGGAGGAGGAAGATGAGATCATGGGATCATGGAATGGTGGGTGAGAAAGGAAAAAGCAAGAGAGAGAAGCGGGAATGTATAAAAGGCACATGTAGGATATTCTTTGGAAAATATATCTCAGCCATCCAAATGTCCTAGGACGACAAAAAAATGTTAAAGATTCAAAAACTGTCATACTTTATTATATAGATGTTAAAGATTCATACGAGGTCTAAATTTATGAAGCCAATAAGGTATTCAATATTTTTAAAAATAATAATTAATTGTTCAAATTCATTTAATTTGTGGGCTATAAAATTCATTAATGTAATCTACACTAGACATAGTAAAATCTGGCTCCTAATTCTGGGATCGCAGACTTTTTCATATAATATAAATAAAAATAAGTTAACAAAAAGGAGAAAATAAAAAATAAAAAAAAAATAGAGAGAAAAATAAAAATGGGAGAAAATAAAAAAATAAATAAAAAGAAAAGAGAGAGGAATGTGGGATCATGGAATCATGGAAGGATGTGTGAGAAAAGGAAAAAATAAGAGAGAGAAGCGGGAAAGTAGAAAATGCACATGTAAGACAATTTTGAAAAATATATCTCAGTCATTGTTTTATAATTTGAACAGATCTAAGCCATCCAAATGTCCTAGTAGGACAAAAATATGTTGAAGATTCAAAAACCGTCCTGCTTTATTATATAGATATGGAAATTGTATATATGCCGGCAATGTCCTAGTGTATTATGGACATACATATATTGTATGGAAATATGTGTAAAACATATTGAACAAAAAAGAGAAGAAAAAAAAAAACAAATAGAGAGAAAAAAAAAATGGGAGAAAAAAAAAAGAAAAGAGGAGGTAGGTCATGGGATCATAGAATGATGAGTGAGAAAAAAGGAAAAAGTAAGAGAGAGAAGCGGGAAAGTAGAAAATGCATATGTGGACATTCTTTGGAAAATATATCTCAGCTATTATTTTATAATTTGAACAGATGTGAGCCATCCAAATGCCTTGAGGGACAAAAATATATGTTGAAGATTCAAAAATTGTCCTGCTTTATTATATAGATGTTGAAGATTCATATTAGGTATAAATTTATGAAGCCTATTAGGTATTCAGTATTTTTAAAAATAATAATTAATTTTTCAAATTCATTTAATTTGTGAATTATAAAATTCATTAATGTAATCTATACTACACACAATAAAATCTGGCTCCTAATTATGGGATCACAGACTTTTCTATATAATATGAATAAAAATAAGTTAAAAAAAAAGATAAAATAAAAAAATAAACAAATAGAGAGAAAAATAAAAATGAGAGAAAATAAAAAAAAATAAAAGAAAAGAGAGAGGAAGGTAGGATCATGAGATCATGGAATAATGGGTGAAAAAATGAAAAAGTAAGAGAGAGAAGCGGAAAAGTAGAAAATGAACATATAGGACAATTTTTGAAAAATATATCTCAGTCATTATTTTATAATTTGAACAGATCTGAGCCATCAAATATCTTAATAGGACAAAAATATATTGAAGATTAAAAAATCGTCCTACTTTATTATATAGATTTTATTCACATTTTATTTATTTATTTTATCAATTTTTTTTTGTCAAATCTCTCAATTAAACACGGGGTAAAGCTCTCAAATATTTTAGACTAAAAAAAGTAGAACGTGTAGAAAAATTTGGGTTGAGTCAAAAAGAAATATTATATAAAGAGAAAACTCAAATATTTTAGACTAAAAAAAAGGTAGAATATCTAGAAAAATTTGAGTTGAGTCAAAAAGAAATATTTTATAAAGGGAAAACTCCATAAAATCGTATGCTTGAATTATTTCAATAGTATGTTTAGTTGAAATTTTAAAATATATTTTATAAAAAAGTTTCAAAAACTAATTTTAGTAAATAAAAAATAAAAATAAAAATAAAAACCACTCATATTTTCATATGATTTTTTTTAGAAAAAATAATTTTTTAAAATCTTAAAAAATCAAACCTATCTTTATCACTTCAAACGAAAAAACGGATCAATCGAACCCCCTCCAGTGCCGCCATTGACGAATACTTCTCACTGAATCAGGTACTCTCTGTCTCTCTCTCTCTCCATGAATCGCTTTCCTCTGAGCTCACAACAGAATCTATATATCTCTTTTTTATGTATTTACACTCATTGTCTACTTTCTGATTGTTCTAATTACTGATCTGTTCTGACTGAGTTTTGTGAGATACTTCGATCAAAATTGTATAAAATGTGTTTTTTATAGCATCTCCAATTCTTATTCTCTCTTTTTTCATCAAATTTTAGTGAAAATTTGATTGAAAGATTGATTGATCTAGTATAGAACACTCAAATCCTTACTCTTTTTAGATTTTCATCAAATTTGAGTGAAAATTTGACTGTTGGAAATTTGGTGAAGAATTAGATTCATCCTTGATTTGGTGAAAATTTTGCTTGATTTGATACAAGTTTGATGAAATGATTGGAGCTCAATTTAGCTCTTTATTTATTAATTTTGAATTTGATGAAAGAGTTAGAGATGATTTTAGGTCATATTAACAAGACTTGGTGCACTGATTTGGTTTTCTGTTTGTAAATCTGAGTGTTTTGCAATTTGTAAAACTTTAATTTCCTGGTTGTTTCCTAAAAAATCTCTCTCCCCCAAAAAAAAAAAAAAAAAAAAAAAAAAAAGGTTGAAACTGATTATGTGACTACTCATCAAACTTTATTCGGTAAAGTTTCTTGAATATTTCTTGTTAACTAAGGCCATCTCCAGCCCTTACACATATTTCAGTCCCGCTACAGACCTCGAATGAAGTCTGCCGCGAATGGCTCGAATGAGCTGGCGGGCTGTTCTTCACGCGTTGGCCAATTGCACCAAAACTTGTGTGGATTTCAAGCGCCTACAAAACAAGATTAGAAAACAAATCAGCTCTTCTAGGGAGATAGAAAGAGATACGACGACAACCTAGAGGGCGACGACGATCTAGGTGGCACCGACGACAAAGAAGACCACCGCTGACCATTGACCACCGTCTACCACTCTCCAATTCCTCTGGTTTCTCTGAAAATTTTGGCCCCCACCCACCAAGAACCAACTGATTCGTGGGTCACTACTGAGGTATTGCTTCAAACACATTCTTTGCTTTACATTGATTGAAATCTGCTTGGTCCATGATTTTGCTCCTGTTTGCTTTACATTGGTTGAAATCTTCTTGGTCCATAATTTGTTTCAAACATGATTTTAGTGTTTTTGTGTTGATGCATTCTATGTGTTTGTTGAAATTCCACATAGAAAGATCTTGTTTGTTTAGACAATTGTTATGTGTATGGTACCTTTATTTCATTGTTGAGAAATGGTGAAGTTCACCACAGAAGACAAAACCAAACTATAATGAACAAATTAATGTAGAAGAATACAATTTGGGGATGGAAACAAAATAGAAACAGTTTCTTCAACCAAATGAGACAGAGATGTGAGGAGAGAAAATGATAAGTCATATTCCGATTGAGGCAATAAGACAAACAGAAAGAGGTAGTCTCTGGTTCTGCAAATGCTTATTAGTCAATTGGTGCAGATGAAGATGAAATTTTTTCAAATCAAAGTGCTTCCCTTCCTCATCTTGTGGGTGTTACTCAACCAATCTTCTCTTATCTATATCCAATTAATATATACATTTAGTGAAACCCAAAAAAATAAAATAAAAGTAGAGAAAGAAAGTTGGCTAAAATAATGGTTGATCAATTGGTATACAATCAGATTGCAATTACTATGGATATTGGCAATTCCACTCCTCCCACAACAACCACACTTGTCTGTTACTACAGTTCCTTTCTGTCATTTTCTTACTAAAAAAAAGTGGAAATTACAATTAGAATTCCACACTTGGAAATTTAGGAACAAAAAGGGGAAAAGAATAACAATACCATAGTTCTTACTAAAAAAAAAAAAAATGGAAGTATTAATGTTTTCCTACTGCATTTGGTAATCTGAAGTCACTAGTGCTGCATGCAGACTTAATTAAAAGCCACATGGAAGTATTTATCCACTTACTTAAGCATTTCCCCAAATCTGGAAGCTCTTGCTTTTGATTCTAAAGGTGACCTTATATGAACTACTTTTTCTTGTAGATCTCTTATAATACACAAATGTATCTATTGTTATGAAGCTTCTTGGTGGTTCAAGGACATTAATCAGTGCCTATTTCAGATTTTTGTAAACAAAAGGAGTCATGGTCCAAATATATACACTAGCCATCATAGAATAAGGGATGAATGAGAGAATTTAAATGCAAATGTAAATAATAATTAAAAAAATTTGCTCAGATCACCATTCAGCAGAGACACAGAGACAGTGCTTGGTTGAGGGAAAATTTAACATCTTGTCTTGATAGTTAAAACTTTAATAAGATGAAATTTTTTATCCTAAAGAACAGTACTAGTATGTAACATTAAATTGAAGCCAAACTTTAACATCTTGTCTTGATTTTGAATGTAAATTGAGTTTATTCATTTGGAAATATTATTATTATTATTATGGTATTTATTGCTCCTTTTTAGCACTAACTGAGGCTCATATTTTTCTCTTCATCTCTTTTAATTTTTGAATTGAATTTTGTCTTTCAATTTCATCCTACAAGCTTCAAAAAGCAACAAAAGGATGGAAGGTTCAAACAATCCGAGTGAGGAAGTTCAAGAACCGAAGAGTGGTGAAGTTGAAGAACCTAAGCAGGGGATGTATTTTAGCTCAAAGCAAGAAGTGTATGCATTTTATGCAAAATATGCGAAGCACTTTGGGTTTGCTATAGCTTATGGAACACAAAATTATGGTAATGATGAGGAACTAAAATACTTTGGAATTGAATGTATTCGGACAAGGACGAGAAGAAAAAGATTAGAAGTAAACCCTCTGGAACCATCTTTGTCATCCAAAAATGATTGTAAAGCAAAAGTAAGAGGGAGTCTACAAAAGGATAGAACATTTAAGTTGACAACTGTTGTGCTTGAGCACACTCATGACTTGGTTCCTACTGACTCACGGCATTTTGCAATGAATAAGAGAATTTTTACTCCTGTAAAAAGAAGATTAGAAATAAACGATGAGGCAGGGATAGGGGTGGCTAAGAATTTTCATTCTATAGTTGTTGAAGCGAGGGGATATGAGGCATTAACATTTGACGAACGAGATGCAGGGAATCACATTGAGAAGGCTAGAAGATTGAGGCTTAGGGTAGGAGATGCCGAATCAGATGCACTTTATTTTCATAGGATGCAACAACAAAATTCGAACTTCTATTCTGCAATGGATTTTGATGGAGAAGGACGCTTGCGAAACTTATTTTGGGCTGACGCAAGGGGTAGAGCAGCTTATAAAGCATTTGGGGATGTTGTTACATTTGACACAACCTATCTTACAAACAAATATGGCATGCTGTTTGTTTCGTTTGTAGGAGTTAATCACCATTGACAGTCAATTTTGTTTGGTTATGGGTTGTTATGTAATGAGAATACTTAGACATTTATATGGCTATTCAGAGCTTGGTTAAATTGCATGTCTGACACTCCTCAAAAAGCTATAATAACTGACCAATGCAAAGTTATGCAAAATGCCATAGAAATTGTTTTCCCACAAGCCCGACATCGTTGGTGCTTATGGTATATAATGAAGAAAATTCCAGAGAAATGGAGAGGATATTCATAATATGAATCCATAAAGTTTGCTTTGCAAAATGCAGTTTATGATTCTTTCACAAAAGATGAATTTGATTAAGAATGGCAAGCGATGATTACAAAATTCAATCTAAATGATAACGAGTGGTTGGGGGTATTATACGGTGAGCAACATAGGTGGATTCCTGCCTATATTAAAGATATTTTTGGACTGGCATGTCAACTACACAACAAAGTGAGAGCATGAATGCATTTTTTGATAGATATGTGAACTCGAAGACTACTTTAAAGCAATTTGTTAAGCAGTATGACAATGCCTTGAGAAGTAAGGTGGAAGGAGACCAAAGCTGACTTTAAATCTCGAAGCAAATTGTATGATTGCTTTACGATGTATGCTTTTGAGAAGCAATTTCGTGCAGCCTATACAAATGCAAAATTTAAAGAAGTTCAAGCAGAATTGAAACAACTATTGTACTGTCATGCGACTCTTGTCAAAGAGGAAGGATCAATTTGTACTTATCAAGAAATTGGAATTTGTTGTGTACTGTAATTCAATTGAATGTGACATCCAATGTGTGTGTCGGTGGTTTGAATTTAGGGGTATTATGTGTGCCCATTCACTTAATGTGCTCATTGAGAGGTGCATACATGAGGTCCCAGATAAATACATTGTGCCGAGATGGAGAAAAGATTTAGAAAGAGAGTACACATGCATTCCAACCACATACACTAAATCTGGGGTTGTTCTCAATGCAAAGGTGCATGATAACTACCACAAGACATTGGATGAAATTATAAAAATTGCTTCCAACGATGATGGTAAACACAAAGTTGTTCAACTTGGGTTGATAGAAATCAAGGATAGAGTGAGAAAAGAGCAATCGGGTTGTGCAAGTAATGTGTCACCTTCTACTAGTACTGTCCCACCTTTTAATACTTCCCCCAAAACTTTGCCTAGTTGCAGTACTACAAATGCAAGTATGACTCGCAAGGTGCTTAGTCCTATGGTTGCTCGCCGAAGAGGCCGTCCATGTACCAAACGGAAAGTTAGCAAAGTGGATGAAATAGTGAATCGGTTGAAGGGAAAGAATAAAAAAGCTCCAAAAGTATAGGTAAATTTTAAATAACATTTGATATGTAAATTTTATAATTTTTTTTACTTAAATTATTCACCAATGTGTGTTCCTATAGGGTTGTAGGTCGATGGTCAATAGTGGTCTTCTTTGTCATCGGTGGCCACCCAGGTCGGCGTCGTCGGGGTCAAGTCCTCTAGGTCTTGGTCATATCTCTTTCTATCTCCCGAGAAGAGCTGATTTGTTTTCTAATCTTGTTTTGTAGGCACGTGAAATCCACACAAGTTTTGGTGCAACTGGCTGATGCGTGAAGAACGGGCCAGCTCATTCGAGCCATTCGCGGCAGACTTCATTCGAGGTCTGTAGCGGAACTGTAATAAGAATACAGAGATATGGTAATTATTAAGTACAGAGTTTTAGGAGTTAAGACAGAACACCTTGTAGGAGAATTAGTAAGGCTGCCATCCCAAGCGATATTGTTGGTTTTAAACTGTGCTTTCACGGGTTTAGAATGTGTTGTTACGGGGAATGATTGTAAACTCACTTGTATAAAACCCAGTAACTTGTTCAAAAATGATACCTGGTTTGATGACAATATGATGGAAAGTTTCTTTATAGAATTCCTTTTCAATTCTTCATCATATGTAAAGTTGTAAACGTTTATAAAACTTATCTCAGAATTTTTTCTCTATTTACAATACAGTCTTGTTACTGCAAAATCCATCTTATTTTTTGTGTCTATTTCTTTTTACACAAGACTGTTATTCATTTTTTTTCTTTTTACATATATTTCTTGGATTTTATCACATTAACAATGGCAGATACATCACCTTTATGCATACATCACACAAACTTTGACTAACAAAGCCCATAATGTATCTACTTGCCAGAATCCTCTGCCAAGTTTGGGACCTCAATGTGAATCTTATACACTTCTTGAATTTGTGTGTGATTTTCAAAAACTCTGGGCACATTGTATACAGTTAAGTGCCTCAAGTTCATAGGACAGTAAAGCATGGTTATTAGTTATGTTGTTTAGATGTGCTGCATGTCCATTGACAGTAAAGCATTTTTTGTTGTTGTTGTTGTTTTCCCACATAGAGACACACTATTCTTCAGAAGTCAATTTTTGCAGATGTGTGTGTAGTAGATGCATCATACTTGCATGCTTTGTCATGCATTTAGTTCATTGAAAATAGCAAGCTGGATGTGTATTGTGACCATTGTTTCAATTTTTTCAGGTTTCTTCTTGTAAGGTTGTTGCAAAATAGAAAACCTTTCTTCCCAGAAAGAAACAGTTCTTTACAGTCTTTTCATATGGATCCAGAGGCTGCACGGGCAGCCCAGGAATCTCTGGACCTGGTGTTTCACATGTCAAACATTCTTGACGCTGGGCTCGATCGCCACACCCTCTCTATCCTCATTGCCCTCTGTGATCTGGGCCAGAATCCCGAGGCATTGGGTGTCGTTGTCAAGGAGCTCCGAAGGGAACCTTCTTCCTCATCTCCAATGCCAACAAGTTCTTCATCCGTACACTAGAAGGTGTTATTTTCTGCAAAGTATTGAAGGGAGGAGATTTTTGTTGCTTTTATAGTTCCCCAACGTGTTCTTCAGTTACCTTAACCTAGATTTCAAAACTATTTCTTCTATATGGTTTTCATATCTTGAGACAAGTTTATGTTTCGAGTATAGGTAAAAGACATTTTGATGAGGTATTGAGTAATGCTATGATGATTACATTTGATTTACTATCTCAATTTTTATAATTGCATTGGTTGAATGAATAATCAAATATGATATATAACTGTGATTATTGTGGTATTATTATAATGCTTTTAAAATATCTAAACTAAAGCCCAATTTAGCCTTGAAACCAATCTCATTATTATCATCATCCATGCATGTTTGTATTGACTGTGACTTTTAAAACTAGGGTTATGCTAATTATTTTAATAATATCATCGATATTATTATTTTATATTTTTAATTCTACAAAATTTATTAAAATAAATTTTCGTATAGTATCTTTTATTCACAACAATATATATATATATATATATTGAGTTCATTTTTAGAAAATTGAATTTCTTGTTTTTAATAAATTTTTTTAATATTTTAAGCAATTTTTTTAATTTTTAGACACACCTAACATAAATACACTTAAAAAGTATAATATTTTGTAAAAAAAAAAAAAATTAAAAATTCACTAAATATCAAAAATGCAAAAAAAATCATTATATTATCATATTCTTGTGTATGTATTAATTTTTAAAATATTTTTTTTTACAAATATTATATTTTTTAGGTACATCTAAGTTATGTGCATCTAAAAAGTAAAAAGATTAATTACAATATTAAAAAAAACACGAAAAATAAAAAATATGAAAAATAAAAAACTCAAAATTTAAAAAATCAATCAAAACCAAATAAGGTAAATAGAAGGACAAAATAAACCTTCATGTGATGTGAGCTGGTCATGTTTAAAAAAGAAGGTTAGCTCTCAACTAAGTTATACTCTTGTTTAGGAAAATATATATATATATATATATATAAGTAAAATGGAGCTTTTGTAAGGGTTATTATGGGATTTTCAAAATCTCATAATAAATTTGTAGATTTATTAAATTAAAAAATAAATTTAAAAAGTAGTATTGACTAATCTATTAAAATAATAATTTTCAAAATATTAATAATTTCATAATTTATAGTTTTCAAAAGAAAAGATAAAAAAATATTTCATATTTTTCTAACCTAATCCTCTCCCATTGATTTTTATTTCCTTTAAAAAAAAATTAAAACTTACTTCTTACTATATTACTATATTATTCATAACATATATAACTAGGAAAAATTAGTCTAAGATCTCTCTGCCATTTTTAGTAATGGAAAAGATCCACAATATTATTTTATGATATCTAAAGTCCCTCAACCTTACACCCATATATCACAAAGAAATTTTGTTACTGGCAGAGTCATTGCAGATTAAGAAAAAGCATGGATTCATGTCGCTGAAGCTAGTAAATGCGAACATGGATGATAAAAAAAGAAGATTAACCTTCCAAGCATTGAATCGCATGGAAGCCAAATCGGGACGAATCACTGGCCCATCATCACTCCTCTACACAGTCTTCCTACTCTTCAATGGCGACACTAATTTATTCGTCAATCTCAAAGGTGAAAATGATTTATGTAGAATTGCAGCAGTTGATGACGAAGGCTTTAAAGCATTTCTCTTGCTCAAGCTCGTATGGTTAGGGAGAGAGAAAGGGAAAGTGGCGGTGGAGACCGAGTTCTGATCAAGAACTTGTATGGAGACTTCGTCTTACAGAACTTGTGATGATTTTTAGGCGGCGATGAATGAAACAATGGATTTAGAAATAGCACAATCTTCCTCGCCCAAGGCCGATTCCTTGGAGACGCTATGTTCGCAGAGTAGCATACGTTTTCCTTTTCTGGGATGTTTAATTTTCTCTAAATTTCTTTGGTTTGAACTCAGAAAAATTTCAATTTTCTCTGGGTAATTTTCTATGCCCTGTTTAATTTTCTCTGTGTTGTTCAATTTTCTTTGGATTTCTCTAGTTTGAACTCAGAGAAATTTCAATTTTCTCTGGTTTGAACCTAGAGAAATGCTTTGGAAAGTCCAGAATTTCTCTGGATTGAAATTTCTCTAGATCGATGTGAGGGAGCTTAGACATTATGAAAATATTGAATGTCCTTTATGCTATAAAATCTTAATACCAGGGATCCTAAAAAAAATTCCCATATAATTACTCTCAAATCTTTAAAATTCATGATAAAAATAAGGAACATTCAAATATTTTGATTCGATTACACACATTTAATTTTTTTTTTTTTGTATACTTTTTTTTTCTTTTTTGATTTGTTTTGTACACTCATATGTATCAATATTTATGCCTGAATTATAATTTTTTTAATACATGTGATGGATGTGAAAAGAAATTAACAACCCAAGCTAAAGCATAGACCACTATGAACAACCCAAGCCCACCATTTAGGGCCTAATACATAATTCAACTGATGAGGCCCAACATGGCTGGAAGTCAACATGGCATTAAGAACCAATGGCACTCAAACACGTGGCAAGTGAAGGACAAGTCACATAAGCAGACAAAGATCTTGCAAAGTTATTGCACTGCACATCAGCCATTAATGAAGCCCCTTACAGCATTTATTGCAATAAGCCCTCCCCATCAAGACAGAACGGTCTCACCATGAACAAGACAAGCTAGAGCATAGACTTTCGGCCATGGTGATAGGTCGGAAAGGACAACGAAATGATTACCAGAGGATATAAGCAGACGTCGAAGACAAGAAGAAGGTTAAGCTTTTCTATCCCTAATCCATCTCTACACTCTATCTCTCTTTCTAACTTGTTCGTCGGAGGGTTCGTTGGGGGACTCCCAGTTCCCCGTTGAACTCTTATGCAAGTTCCTCTGTGGGCTTGGTCACTCGGACATTGGTTCTGGAAGTGTGGATCAGTCCGACCCGTGCCATCTGGAACCCGCAATATCATCAATTGGCGCCATCTGTGGAAAAGCTTTGCTCCGCGCGCCAGTTGTGCTCATTGTCGCCGGAGACCCTGTCCCAATAACCCTTTCCTACCACCCACCAAGGTGTATGGTCACGACTAGATCCATGGCTTCTCACCACAATGTTGCCGACCACCAAGCCGACCCTCCCAATCCAAACAATCTACCACAGTATTTCACCGAACTCACCAACAACATTAACCGCCTGGCCGAGCAAAACCAAGCCCTAATTAATGCTCTACTCCAAAGAAACCCTCTTATGCCCCCTCCACTACCTCCAGATATCCCACCCAACCAAGAACGAGCCCTGAGCCACACTATCCAGCAGCTCCATCCGCCCAACTTGGAGGGCTTGCGACCACCTCCCCCAGACATGAACCTACCCCCCCGGGCCCCACATCCATCGGTCCAGGCACCCACTCCCGAGGGAGAGGCCAGTAGCGTCCAGCCCCCGTTCCCTTCCGGTGATGACAACGTCCCTTTCTGGGATGCAAAACTCCGAGCCATAAAGCTCTAGCTCCAAGCAGTCATGCAGAACATACCGAATAAACAATCTACCACAGCCAACTCACCATTCGTTGCCTCCATCCGGGACAAACCTCTACCGCCTAAGTTTAAAATGCCCACCATCGACTCTTTTGACTGTACAACATACCCAATTGATCACTTGGAGACCTACCGGACCCTCATGATCCTCCATGCATTCCCTAATGAAACCATATGTCGGGCTTTTCCCGTAACACTCAAGGGGTCGGCTCGACTTTGGTTTAGTCAACTGCCAGCAGACTCTGTCTCCATTTTCCAGCACCTCAGTGACTCCTTCCTCAGCCATTTTATAGGAGCCCAGCGCCAGCGACGTCCGGCAACCCAACTTCTTAATATCCGTCAGACCGAAGGGGAGTCGCTGCGCAGTTTCGTTACCCGCTTTAACACTGAAGCCTTGCAGGTAGCAGAAAACGATGACAAGGTCATCCTTACGGCTTTCATGGCCGGTCTACGGTCATTTGACTTCCTTTTTTTCCTCTCTAAAAACCTCCCGACATCCATGGCAACCCTACTCTTCAAAGCCCAAAAATACATGAATGCCGAAGATTCCCTAGCCGCCTGACAAGATCTTATACCCAAAAACCCGACCCCCAGAGAAAAGAGAAAGGACACAGAAACCAGAAACAGCCAGTACACTCACTAAACACCTCAGTATATCGACCGACTACCCCGAGCCGATCGGTCGGCGTCAACCCGACCACCTCAGTATACTAAACACCTCAGTATCTTTTTTTCCTCTCTAAAAACCCCCCAACAAATCTCTTCGTTTCTCCGGTAAACCAACAGACTTAGTCCGTGTCAGAATCGGAATGACCTTCATTGGAGGACAATGCAAGACATCAACATTATTATTAGTGTATTTTTTAGATAACACAACAATAGAGGGGGCTCTCATTTGCGAATCTTCTGGCATGTCACTCGTAGAATACTTCAGATACTCCTTCATTTTACAAAACGTAACCCCCCTTTTAATATTAGAATTTTCAAGTCGATACTTTACCATCCATGGCACCTGTTTGTCATTAATTGAACAATAACCATTCCCATAATAGACTAACTCGCATTGAAAATCTACTGGGAAAATAAACCATGCCTGCAAACTGTCATTACCGTCTAACCTCCGATCATAAACATTTACTCTGACCAACCCACTAGCATTGGGTGCGCAAAGGGGGGAATATTTTATCAATATTTTATCAACCTTAATACTTTTTTGCTTGTATCTTAACCTCAATTGAGAAAATAAATTAGGCAACGCAAGTTCAATACAACTGAAATCACTTGCCGAAACACCTTCAACAACCCCAGTTTTTATATCGTCCACCTCCATTAACCTGAACATTAAAAATAAAAATACATCAAATTACAATTCTAAACAGTTTTAAAGTACATTTGACTCCTTAAAGTAATTTTGCATTCCTTTCCACTAACAGTAGCAGCCACTAAATATATGGCACCCTTTTGAATGCTTCCAACATTTCCCAACAACGTATCTTTGTAGTCCGCCCAAACATTAACTGGGAAAAACCGGTCTACAACTTCTATCCCGTGACGAACGTACTCTTTGTCCTTGTCACCAACGAGCTTGAATCTCATTTTCTTTAGCATCCGAAAACGGTCGGACTGGTCAGGATCAACAATCCAGGTCTCAGGATTACCCTCGCCAACTC